ATTTGATTACTGAACGCACAAAGAGGTTTTGTCTCATCAAGCTGGGTTCACATGTGGCCTTGAAGGCAACACATATACACCAAGCAACAACTCTGGATGTGGATTTAGTGAGGAAAACTTTACTGACAAAAGTTCTTTGGCTTTGATTCTTGTGAAAGACTTTCCATTCTGTCACATATTACGGCTTACTGCACCTGTAAATCCCATCCTGTACTGCTCTGCCTGATCAGAGTTAGTTATGAAATATGGTTTTAGGTTAAATACAAGCTGAGGAATCTCAGATGGTCATGTTTAGATTTGTGCTCCAGTTTGAGGATTCTTCAGATTCCTTAGATTCTTCAGTGGTGTCATACACTGTAGCAGGACATATTTGCAAATCTCCAATCACTCTTCGCTTTTCTTTCACATAGTGCCTTGCAAAAAATATTCGTGAGCCTTCAGTTTTTTCATGTTTTGTCAGAATAAAACCACAAACTAACAAATAAAATACACAGACAAGATATTTTATTTGGATTTTGTGTGACAGGATGGCACAAAGTGGTGGGAAGTAAAAGGAAAATTCTTAATTTTATTTTATGTTTTGTTTTGTTTTACTACAGTCAAACATAACATATGAAATAATAAAATAAGAGTTTTCATCAATAAAAAAAACTGAAAAGTGCGGCATGCTTTTGCAGTCTAGCCCCCTGTTGCTTCGAAATTTGTTAGTTTCTTTTTCAACTGAACAGCAGTAGATGAATAGAAATGAAGATAAATGGCTAGTCTTTTTTATTGTAAATCTTCGGATTGTGGTATGCATTTTATTAGCAGTGACTGAGGTAAATACAAGACAATCCTAGACCGAAAACGTCCACTGAATAACTGCAAAGATAGTCAGAAATGCATTGGATTCATTTATATCAAAGCATATATAAATGTGGTAGAATGGCCCAGTCAAAGTCTGCATCTAAATCAATCAGAGAATCTGTGGTAGCATTTGAAAATTGACTCAGAATTGCATAATGGAGGGAAAGTGGTTCTAGATCTACAAAGCAAAACAGAAATAATTCATCCATGTGACTCTTCAGATTTGTTTTGCCTTAATATTTTGAAAAACATGCATCATTTCCACAAATATGCACTTAATGCACTTAATTGAGCCGGAAAAGCTGGAAAAGGGTAGAGTGCCTTCTCCGGGTCAGGGGGGTCGTCCTGCCTCAAGTGGAGGAGTTTAAGTATCTGGGGATCTTGTTCACGAATGGGGGAAGAAGGGAGCGGGAGACCCAGGACACGCTGGAGGGACTATGTCTCTCGGCTGGCCCGGGAATGCCTTGGGGTTCCCCCGGAGGAGCTGGAAGAAGTGGCTGGGGAGAGGGAAGTCTGGGCCTCCCTTCTGAAGCTGCTGCCCCTGCGACCCTACCCCGGATAAGCGGAAGAAAATGGATGGATGGATTGATGGATGCACTTAATCATGTTGGTATGTTGTACGTTTTGCATTTATTTTTGTACCTGAATGGTGATAGCTGTTAGTGTTTCTTGTTTCTGTGTAATCCAAATCAAACAGCAGCCTGTAAGTTGGAGAAATCCCCCCTGGAAAGCACAGAGAGTTTAATGAGCTTATAGGGAGCAGAGGGTGGAGCCGCTCTGTCAGGGCCTAATTGCATGTAACATGACACTGCTGGTACCTGTGACAGGCCAACCTGGCTCCACCATCCTCAGGTGGCTTTCGTTAGCGGCCTGCTAGCAAAACAGAAATCCATCTGATTGAGGATAAAGAGGGTTCTTCCTGCAGGCCAAGGTGAACCGTCCTAATGGTTCACCTTGCAGGAGGAGAACAGACGGACTTTAGGATTTGTAATCAGATCCCCCGGTGGAGAAGGAAAAGGGAAAATTCAACAAACTTTGTCTTCTGGTCAACAACAACAACAGAAAATCTGGCTGAAAGTGCATTTGGTCAGTGGGAAAAATAATCGTAACCTTCACCCTACCCTAAGAGAAAGGGCAATGTTGTGAGCAGAACATATGCTCAAGCTGATTGACAGCTCTAAGACCCTCCACCCGGCTCTGATTGGTGTGTTTCTGCAGATAGCAGTAGGACAACAGCAAGAAGGCAGAGGTGCTGGATTTTTTTCATAGATTACCCATCTCATAGTTTCTCGACATTGTGACAGTTTTAATGAATATGTAAAAAAAAAAAAGAAGCCATTTTGTTTATGAAAGTTACATACTGCAGCTTTAAATTAAACTCTTTTCTTATCAAAAATTAATCTGGAACTAACTCATTTCAGCTTCAATGTATCTTGTGTTTTGATCTGAGGAGATAAAGTGCCACCACAACTCAAAACCCAGCCTAGAACTTTGCTTGGTATCTCATATGGCTCCTTATCTCCAGTTTAATGAGTTCAGCAGCTGCCTCTGCTGCCCCTCTCTCCGTTTGGTTCTCTGTTACTTTTGTCAGACAAAGGATGGACAGGACGTGTTCTTCATGCAGCACGGACGGCACTCTACCTTGGAGTTTCAGCTGAGGTTTAGAATAACGCCTCATATAGAGTTGCGTGGAGACAAGAGCTAGGCGGACGATTCACTAAGGAGAGCACTTAAGAATCAGCGCCCTCAGAGATAGGCAGGCTGCTTCTCTGCACTCGAAGTCTAATTTTCTGTACATCTCAGTCACACAGAATGCAAATTCTGATCTCACGGCCTTTACAGCATCACCAAAATGTTATTTCAGTATTTAAGTTCAAATGATATGTAGTCCTTTCACACTATTTTGTTTAATTTTGCATACTATCTATTCTTCCTCCTTACTATGAATGGACCCCAGAATTCTGTTTTTCAGAAAATTGGAATATCATATCAGACTAGTGTTAGGTCTGTTAGGTTTAATTAGGTCTACAAAATTGAAACTTTTGAATTTTGTAGACCTAATGCTTGAATGTAGTAGGTATAGTGCATCTGGTCAAAGTTGCTCCATCAAACTACAACCGTTTGAGGGGGAAAACCTTGTCAGAAGAGTAGAAGAAGAAGAAGAAATAGACATCAAGAAATCACATAAATGAATTATACGTAATCATTAGAGATAACATTACACAAAGTATAAACCATCACCCGTTTGTGACTTTGAGCTCAAGATCTGTTGAGTTTGGTGGTGGCAGGCTAAATAGAAGTAAAATAGAAGCACAATTTTTGTTTGCATTGGCCCAGGTTATTTTGGTCTAATGTTTAAATTGGTTTCATGATCTGAAACATTTGAGCATGACAAAATAGAAAAAACAAAACAAAAACAGCACTCTAAGTTCACTCTGTACCGCTGATACAGAGTGATCCACTCTGCACTCACTATTTATATTTGAGCCTCGGTGTGAAACGATATGTGAATGATTTTTCGGATTAACAGTTTCCTAGTCATTGATCCCTGTGTGACTCTTGTCTTTGCTTGTGACCCATCGTGGCTGATAGGAGGCAGTTATGGCCCCGGGGTGAGGGGATCTGAGGTCACTGCAGTCTAAACAGACCCTCGCTTTTATCTGTTGCGAGTCACACACCACGTGCATTTTGAGGCAAATCCTGGTTTTACAATTTCTCATCTTGAGCAGGAAAACCGGCAACAGCCACAAAGTTACATTCAAGATAAGGCGCATCTCGCCTTCTGCCGATGAGTAATTCACCGACAAGACATGTAGGAAAACAAAATGAGGCGTAAATCTTCCCTTAAAGGTGTGTTGCGCAAATAATAAGTCAGCCATTCATAGAAGACTTTAGGACCAATGCTTTCTGTGATGACAGACAGCCAGGCTGATGGCTGTAATAAAATATACAATGCTTGTGCAAATTAGGAACTAGTACAACTAAAGTCACTATGTATTTTTCCCATGCTGTTGAAAGTATTGACTTTTTATTATTATTATTATTTTATGATGTTTAAAAACTTTAGGCATCCATGAAAAAGCAAATGAGCCTGATGGAATGGACGAAGGAGTCTTCAATGTTCTTAAATTCTCCAACATACTCTGGACATGTTTTTCAACTTTTTATGAAAAAGAAGGGAAAAATAATTAAGTTTATATATATGTTTTCTTTTTTCTAATTGTAGTGGTCAAGCACACCCTGGCTTATGAGTCTGTTTCTTTATACCAAAAAGTGACGGAGTAAGTTGCCTGACCCGGAGAGGAGGGGAAGAATCAGGCTGGAGTTTAGCATGACCAGTCAGTATGAATGAAAACACCAAGAAACTAGACTTCAAAGACTAAGGGATTTTTTGTTGGATTGCATTTGGAGCTCAAATCATCAGCAGAAGACTAAAGCGGAAAGAGTTTGGACTAAATAACAGTTCCATGACTTGGAATGTTGCAAATTAATATGTAGACATATGAAATATTTTATAAAACTGGAGATAAATGCATAAAAGGTGCATCCATCTTTAATTTTAACCAAATAAAAATATAAATAAATATGAAAATTAATTATTTTTATATTGCAAAATGTACAAGTTCCACAAGGTTTCCCCCCAAAAATCTTGCTTAGCCTCTCGTTTGGGCGCTGGGGCTTCACCCAGCGACCCATTGTGTTTTTGAGGTAAAAATGTTTAAAGTTGACAGGAAATTTGAAAATATCACTTGATAATTATGTGTTATTAAAACATTGGAAGATTACTACCTGAACACCAACTATAAAGGCTTAAAAAATGCAAACATTTTAAAGAGACTTAAATAAATAAGCAAATCTTCGCCTGGTGTTGGCACAAGTAAAGCCTGGTGGCCCGCCAGGCTTAAAATACACTGGGGAAAACCCAATTATTATTTAATCAGCAACATAATCAAAATGAACGATGGGGCTGAAACTACTACTAAAATAACAAAGGTAATTTTTCTTTGCTTTTCTTATAACAACAGGGACACAGACCTCAAAAATGCAAGAAGGTGAATTTTACATAAATGACAGGCATTCGTCATTGTGCCATTCTCTATTATTTTCTAAAAACGCGAAGAACATCACTAGAGAGAGAGAAAATATTAACACTGAAAAACATTTTAATCAGTTGCAAATCTGGACCATCCCACAAAAGAGCTGAGTCAGAATATTAAACACTGAAGGCAATGAGAATAAACCCAGAGCACAGCCTGTTTGGAGAGATTGCCTGGAAAGAAAAAAAATCTCTCTCTAAAGAACAACACAAAAGATCTGGAGTGACATCTTTTGGAGAAAACCAAAAACACACGTGTCATATCAACTGTCAAGCATGGCAGTGGAGGGATGATGATCTGTGCAGACACTTGTTGATTGTGAACAGCTATTAGCAAAACAAGCAGATAACATGGAGCTCTGCATTCAAACACTAAAGGAATATTTTTCTTAAACACCTCTTTTGTACAGTAGTGTGTATACACGTGATTTGATATCATGAAAAGCCTCAGAATTGCAATTAAGTTGTTTATTTCTGCTACTGTCAGTTAGCATTTGAGGCTTGGTGGCCATTTTGAATTTCAAGTCAAGGTTAGTTAGAAATTTCTACTTTATGAAGAGATTCCAGCGATTTTTCTGAACACTTTTTAACTAGTTCCAAGCTATAAAATCATCGTTTCCCATTTTTATGAACGCACACCTGCATCAGTCGGTGTTTTCTTCTTTTCATGTAATCTCACACAGTCATGATGCGACTATCACTACTTGGAGGGGCCAGCACCATCTGTTGCAAGATGAGGTAGTTCTTTATGGTCTTGTTTACTTAACTGAGTGTCACCTTCTGACCTTTTTACGGAAGACTTCAGATAAATCACATGAATTTAGATCATTGTGTTTTTGTTAATTTGGAGTAAAAAGTAAATAAGAGCAAAGCATGGTGTCCCTCTAACGTCATTTTTGTCATGAGCCATGACTCAGCAATGAACCCGAGACTCCCGCTGCTGAGCAGAGATCTGTGTTAGTAAGGCGAAGGGGCGGGGCGTGGAGACTCGGTACGAAGGGGGCGGAGCTTGGTAGTAAGCTGACGCCTTCCCTTTTCCATCGAGACAGAGCAGCCTCCTCCTGTAGAAAATTATTCTTGGCTGAATACGAATGACTTCTTCCCCTCCCGATCCTCGCCAAAGCGGAAGGAGCCGACAGTTTCCCGAGACAGGACGGCTCGCGGTCGAACACGCAAAAAGGAAACCGGGAGCCCCCTCGGTCAGCGACGCATACCTGTCCGTGTGGCATGTGACAGCTCGCGGGCGCCTTGCCGCGTGAAGAGGGGATAAAGGACAGCGGCTCCGCAGACAGGACTCGACCTTTCCGCGTAGACCGACGGAGTAATGAACTCCTCCGATGATACCGGCTCTCCCGCCACAAAGGAGATGGAGTGGCTGTGCGGAGCAAAGCTCCACTTCTGGGTGAGTGCGTTTCTCGTCACCGCTGCTGTAGGCTGCTAAATAACACCTCCTCAGTGGTTTGGAACCTGCAAAGCGTTTGTTGTCTTTCCGGGTAGCTGAAGTATCTGTCGCAGCTCCTATAAATATCCCCCCTTCTCGCCCCCTAATTGCATTTACAGTGTTAACGAGGTCCCAGTTAATAACATGAAGACTTTCTTGTTGCCTTTACGGAAGACATGTTGAAGCCAATGAAGTGTTCACTCAAACTTGTTACATCTGGAGTGCGTTTAAAGCGCTTTGCAGACTTATTTGCGTTGTGCAAACGTAACTCTGATAAGTTCATTAGACAGTAGCCTTGCCAGGACTATTATTGCACACAGATAACTGCAATATATACTATTATACATAATTTTTTCGTTTGGTGCAATCATAAAATTGTCCCAAAAACAACATAATAACATTATATCAGGGCTTTGACATGCAGCTATTTCTATTGTTTAATACTGCATTTAATATAAGTTAACTCAGGTTTTCATGCCTCTTTTCTTTGTTTTCCATGATCATCATCATTATCATCTTCACCATCATCATCATTATCTCTCCAGCTAGTTCAATGAGCTTTAACAGTTCGGCCATTAAAAACTGCATCAGGATTATACATCAAGGGCAATAAAAATCTTAAGTGGCAGAGCGTTAATTTATGTTTTCTAAAAATCATAATAGTGTGCCAAGTATTGCATCCAATCAGTCCTGTCCAGCTCCAATATTGGATATTGCAGACAGACAATATACGGTACAGTCCTAAGCTTAATGCTTTGTTGAGTATCACTTGTATGCAGTGATAACATGTGGAGGGTTTGCTCATTTACAGTCCATGGATTATTTTAGCATAGTGAAGCTGATGTGTGTTAAAAAAAACAGAAGTTATTTTCCACCTAACTCACTTACCTATTGGTCAGTACAGCCTGTTTTTGCTTTTCCTGACATCCATGTAAATCATAACACATCCAAACACCATGCTTGATAGATGCATTTGTTGTTTGTAACTGTGTGTGTGTGTGTGTGTGTGTGTGTTTTGGATCTTGAGCTTTCTCCATCATTTTGTTACCGGTTGATTTTACCTGTCTATAATACATTTTTCCAGTATTTTTCAATCTGTTTATTTCACAAAATTAATTTATCCTTACCCTCATGATTTACCTTTACATACACGCTTTTATCAGAAGGCTAAGTTAACCTCTATTGTCCACAGTACAGGTCTGTGTTTGAATTATATCAAAGGGTTCCTCACTGTAAACGTTGTTTTATGGGAAGCGGTGATAAAAAGGTGCAGATGGTGGATAGAACAGAGTCTCACCTGTATGACGGATCCAGAATATTTGCAAGCTGCTTTTTGAAGCTCATGATGTTCAGGTATCTGTTTTATTTTTGGAAGCAAAATTGGACGTCAAAATTTGGAAGTCAAAGTAGGGGAAATGGCGTAAATGCGGTTTTACAACCAGAGCATACTCTGTTTGTTCTTTTTTGAGTTCCACACAATCATAGTTATGCATCCTTTTAATATGTACATACAGTTCTTTTTCAGTGTTCATAAAATTTTTTTCCCATTTTTTTGTCTCACTTTGGCGTGTTTTATTTGGATTAATTTGTAGGATACATCAGCCGATTGATGAATTAGCCCTCATCTCCTTAATTTTGGGTGATCGGCGATTGGCCAATACATACATGTATTGAAACCCGATCTTAACCCCCAATGACAGACTGCCAGACCCACCCATTAGGTCACGCTGACAATTTAGCAACTTCATCACCATATTGAGCCTCTTTTCAAACCAAAAACGTTGCCATTGGACAAAATCAAAATTACAATCTACATAATTATGATAAACGAAAATGACTCATACTTTTCCATTTTTTCCCAAATAAATGTCTTAAAATTGTATCATGGATTGGTGTTACACCAGCTTAGAAAAACAGGTGGTTAAAGCACAGTGATGCTACAAATCATTGACTTAGTAAGTCAATATGCCACAATTTTTAGATATTTTTTTGGTTAAAAATGTGTCATTTTTCTCCCACTCCACAGTTATGTATTACTTTGTGTTAGTCACATAACATTCAATAAAAAAATACAACAGTTGACAGTAACTGAGTGCACTAATACTGTATTTAGTTTTCACACAAAACTACATTGTATAATAATTTTACTGTATTGCTCAGACAAATTACTGCGCAGTTACATAAAATATTATTATTAACAATAATAATAAAGGTGTGTAGAAAGGAGTGGCCCGCTTTGTTTATCTTGGAGTGGCTGAGAGTCTTGCTCTTCAAGATGTTTCAGGTTTTTGAATTGAAGCTCTCCAAACTGGATTTAAAAGAGAGGTAGATGATGTTACCGGTTTTATTTTTCCTAGAATCCTGCAGCCTTAACATTCACCTTTCCTCCAACACCTGAATCACATGACTAGGCCATTAGTGGGACTGCATGCTGGGAGGTCACTCAGACATCTTGCACTAAAATTTAATCAAAACAGCCATGTCAAAGTGCAGCAGTTCTAGAATTACATCACATAAGTAATCAATTAATGTGATTAATTGTTAGTATTTATATAAATTGCCATTTTATATTTTCTATTATTTCTAAGATAAATAGTAAGCTATCTATTTTTTGTTTTGTGTTGTTTTGGATATGCAGATGTGACTTGGGTTATCATTCATGTTGTCTAAATGATTGCAAATGTGAGCAACTGCTATGAAGTTTTTTTTTGTTTTTTTTTATCTCACGTTCACGTCCCCCTAACACCAATATTTTGTTTCACTTCACCAAAGGTCACATTCTCCACCTCTGTCCTTTCTGCTGGACAGAAAAGTCAGCATATTTTCTTCCTGTCAGTATTTCTCAGGCAGCGAAGGGAAGTTGCTGAAGTGTTGCACCTAATTTAGGAAAGAAAAGTCAGGAAATGGTGACATAAAATAAATAAAATGTTTTTTAAATGCATCCATTTCAAGCAAATAATAATAATAATAATAATAAAAAAAACAAAAACCTGCATCGTTCTTTGGCTTCTTCTTGAAAAGAAAAGCTTTTTTTTCTTGAATCTGGGTTATTGTGGTTAGTTTCTCTGTTGCGACATGCTTGTTACAGAAATCTTGATGGCTCTGAAGACAACTTGAGCAGCTAAAATAATCTTAAGTTTCTATCAAGAAACCCCAGATTTCCTTCCCTCTCCTCTGTGCAGCCCACATTCTTTCCTAAATACCACCTTCACCACGAACACATCGCTGTGCTTGAGTGTCCAGCTGATTTGCCTCTGGGTAGAACCCGCTGAGAGATGCAACTGTTTTGTGAGGCCATGACAGGTGGTGTAAACTAGTTGCTGCTATTCACGTCCACTTCAAACAAACAGGAGGCATCTGTAATCCCCCAGCTTTCAGCAGTGCATGCTGAGTGCAGGTCAGAGTTAATACTTAGGCTTGATCAATTGCCCTATTTACAGAGTTGTTCTTTTTAAGACGTCTAAGCAGCAGCTTGAAGTCCATTTGACAGCTCAAACAAGGTTTATATTAGGACAAACCGCTGCATGTAAGACTCAGAATATGACACCCTTGAACAAAGGTACCTCACTTCCTCCATGGCCTGATGTTTTCACCAATAGTTAAAGCTGCTGCTTTTAATAAAAACTGAAAAGTAACAATAATTTCTACAGTTGAGAAAAAAACAAGTTGCAATGTAATAAACTAATGTTATTTTATCTCTCTTTTATAAATACAGTTAGCTTAATGAAGAAACGTAGACACTTGTCAGACTTTGTAGTTTTAAAATGCTCATTGTACCAAATATTCTTTTTTTCTGTTCTGCTTTTTGGTCTTGTGCAAGAATACCGGGGATTCCCTCTAAAAATGCTTATACCTGCCAATTTTACTTGTTCAAACTCCAGATATGCCTTAGTGTGCATTAACACACAAAGTGTAAACCGTCTTGATACTACTGAATAGGCTAACATCCACGGTCTTAGTGGATGTTAGCCTATTGAGGCTAATCAGCACCTAGGAAAATGAATGGTGCTCCTGTACTGGGTGGTTTGCCAATAGCATGTCAAGTAGCATTGTGTCTGGATATCTCAGCTTCCCAAGCTGCATTTCCCCTTCCTAAAATCCAGAATATTTTAGATTGGTTTTGCAAAAAACAAAAAAATCCGCAAATGGGTGAATTTTCCACAAAAAATTTGGAGTTATTTTTCAAGAAAAAATGTGCAAATGGGTAAATCTGCAAATATCTTTTCTATTTGTTTTGTTTACCATCCCACGGTCCTAGCGTGAAAGCAGGGGTGAAGATTGTCCCGTCAGACCGTCAGTTCCCGAAACCACACACACAAGAAATCCTCTTAAAAAACAAACTTGTTCGATCCAAATGACCCCATCTCTTAAAACTTCATGAGGCTTAAAAATGAAGCAGTAGAAACAGTATGGCAGTTTTCAAACAAACTTTAACTGTGGCTTAACTGTGGTTCCTCAGTGAAATGCGCTGTGTGTCCCGTCAAGACGAAGAGCTTTTGAAGTCTTGCCCCAGAGGGAGCGTTTGCTTGTCATGCCTCATTTTAACAAGATCTACATGTACGTCTGGGCTTGGCTACAGCTCAAGTGATGTTGCAGTGAGTTTCCAGAGATTGCGGGGGACGGCCCTTCCCCATGCAGTTCAAACATGCCCAGAAAACTATTGAGTTTGTTAAGGGCATGATCAAGTCAAGCCCAACCTAAACAGGTTCTGTTAGGGGTTGGCGTTGGAGCAAGAGAAGGCCAATCACAAACCATGTCTCTCCTTGTTGGTTTGTTTTTAACAGCTTTGAGGTGATATGGTTATTGCTTCATTGATGCACAACAAGGGTTGTAGCAAAGCACAGAGGTTTTCTGAAGAAATGCCTTGAAACTGCAAGCAGACCTGATGGCAAAGTTGATGAAGTATGTCATAAACTCGGCAAAGACTGCAGCAAGATGCCTCTGGATCAAAACCAATCTAA